CTGCACCTCCAGCCACTGAATGGGCATGCTCTGCATTTACCCAGATCCTTGGTTTCCCGTGAGCATCTCATCACCTCCAGTTAGATGCGCTTCAGCTAGAGATGCTGACACACACTCCTATATACTTCATCACAAACACTACTGTCTTATATTTTGGCTAAGGCAGGGAATTCTTAAGTAAGAATAAGTCTCTGTGTATTTATTTGGGAGCTGGGTGGCAGGACCCCAAAGAGTAATAAGCAAACAACAAACAAACAAAACAAACAAAAAAAAAACCCCTACAAGTTTCAGATCAAGAAAATGCCAGGAAGACTCCAAATCTCAACAGAGAGTTTAAAAGTTTCAATGCCAATTTTAATTTTAACTTGAAACTTTTGGAGACTGAGATGTCCTAAGCAATATCACAGTTCTGCAGTGCAGGAGAGCTGGAAACCTGAGGCCTGGGCAACAGCTTTCACATCTGGAGTTCTAAAAGAGAACTCGAGAGCACAGTCTGAAGAATAAGTGCTTTCCTAGCACTGTTCTGGGAAACAAAGAAGCATATCCAGAAATCCCTGTGAAGCCTCCCCTCCCAGCAGCCACACCCCTCCTGCCTATGGCCAACAGAAAGGTGGAGCAGTCCCATTGTACCCCTGACTGTTCTCCCATGGGGTAACCCCACTCTCGACTGCTGCTCTGCAACCTCCCCACAGTTCTCACAAGACCACAACAAGAGGATGCCAGGGCTTTCATAAACACCAATAAGTCAGCTTGACATAGCTGTGTGGAAGCCCACATAGGTGAGTGGAGCAATAGTTTCCAGAATGTGATCTGCCAGTCTTTGGCCCCACTTCCATGCACACTCCTAGACCTGGCAGAAAAGAGGCTGTAGGTGGGATCCAATGAAGGAAAAATCCCAAACCCAGCTCGCAGGACTTCCTATAGTGCTATTTTCTAGAGACACACACTGGACACAGGAAGAAACTGAACCAAGGGATGGTGTTCTAATTCTTCTACCTCCCAGCTACACAGAAGCCCTAGCAGGGGCTGTGGGCACTGGGAAAGAGGAAGAGATGGCATCTAGCGGACACACTGAATCTGCCACACAGGAAGTCCCAACCCAGACTCCCACTTAGGTGCACACCCTGCTCTTCTCGACCCACTCGGAGACTACAACACCAAGACAACACATTCACAGGTAAACTGTTTGAAAATCTCAGAAACAACCAGTCTCCCCACAAACCCAGGAAAATGAATGTAAGAAGATCCGAGGTCCCAGAGCACAAGAATAAATACCCGGGCCAATGCCCTTAGCAGTGCTCACAGACAAGTGTGGATACACAGAGCTGAGGGCACGGAATCAGTGACAAATACACCAGACTGGGCACTGCAGAGGCAAAAGGATGGCAGAGATGATCTAAAAGTTAAGAGGAAAATTAATTAGAATGTGTTTCTATATCCAGCAAAAGTATCATTGTGAGTACATTTTTAGATAGATTAAAAAAATTTTGCAAATCCTCCATAAAAGGATGAAAAAAACAAAGAAATATGAAAAGAGAAACAATTATCCAGGTGAAGGACAGGGAAGTCAAGACAGTTATGAAAGTAAGTAAAAAGTAACATCAGCCAAACGGAGCAACTCCAAATCCCACCACTGACATGTCTTAGCTGCAGGGGAAGAGAACTACTCCAGACACAAGAACTCTGGGTGCTGAGAGCAAAGCCAATGAAGAAGAACCAACTGCACAGACTGCAAACAACTGGGAAAGAAACCTGGGTAACCTAACAAAACAGGGAAAGAGGACATGTAAGAGAACACACACACACACACACACACACACACACACACACACACAAATCAAGTAGATTAAATATTCCAGCAATACCCACAGACTAAATTCAGCTCCTTAAAACAGACTCACAGATTATATGTGAAAATAAAAGCTTTATATTACTGGAAGGATATGAACCTAAACACCAATAACTAAACTACAGGTGACTAAGCAGAACTGAGGAATAGCTGAATAACCAAACAAGTTGTTTTTATATTAGTTTATTTCATGGGAAATAAACTTGTAATTCAAACTTCACGGTTTCAAAACAGCATGCACAAAGCAGAAGCTGATCACAACAGAATCCACAGACCAGAGTGGGAACAGCATCGTTCCTTTGGGAAGAGACAGCAGTTACAAAGGAACAGGTCACAGGATGAACAGTCTCATGTATAAAGTTTCTTCAAGCACCCAAAAACAAACACATCAATCACACGGGGAACACTCAGGTCACCACTGTAAGAATCACTATGATCAAGCCAATGGGGAAAAATCCAAAAATATCTCCAAAGCAGAACGCAAGTGGGTACATCTTTTAACTTCAATGAACTAAAATTAGGTATTAAAAATCAATAAGCTAAAAGGCAAAATTTATGCCCTTTGAGTTAAAAAAAGAACTCAGTCTAAATGGCTTTGGAGCATAGCAGGGGTCAAACAGTGAAGACAAGCACGGTCAGGAGCAGGGACCCCCAGGGAGGGGCTCAGGAGCAGGGACCCCCAGGGAGGGGCTCAGGAGGGGCAGTGACCCCCCAGGGAGGGGCCCAGGAGGGGCAGTGACCCCACGTCTAGTGCCTACTAGAAGTGAAGACACCATAAAAGAGGGGACACCAAGCCTAGAAAGGACAGGGAAAGAAAAAATTCACAGAAAACAAAGGTATAGTTAATAACTAAAACCAAAATCTGATTCCCTGAAGAATAAAATGACAACAGAACTCAGCCTTAAGGCAAAAAGTCACATAACATAAAGGACGGCACAGAGCCCACATCTTCACCCAGCAACACCTGCCAATTTCATAGTGACACGGTTTTCCTGTTCATTTTGCCAAAGCATCACTAATTTTGGCATAAGAGATAGCACGTTAACAGAGAGAAGAGTGTTGGCTCATTTATGAGACCGATTTTGTGTTTATTACAGAGTCAGTTAAAATCAACACAAATAACAGATAAAGAAATAACCTGTGAACTCAAACCACTCTGCACTTCACCAACACAAGGCAACCATCTGCCAGTTTGGTCAACATTCCCCAAACATTTTCTTTCTTTTTGTTTAACTTTTCTTAAGTTTCACTATGCAATATTTAGGATAGAAGGAGGAGAAGGAAGGGAGGAAGATGAGAGGGAAGAGAAGAAGAAAACACACAATGAAAATACCAGAACATCAGTGTAGAAATGCCAAATACCAAATAGAACAGAAACACAAAACTTCCTGGCAATAATCTCCCTGTGTTCACTCTGTGTGTATGCACCGCCCCTCAACACATGCCATCACACTACGCTTCAGACATACACAGAGTTTGTGCTGCACGTGTTCTTTACCGGTTTGCTTTCTGCCCTAAACACACTTAAGGAAACCCATCACTAAGACATGCATGCTGCCTTTTAACCAACCTACAAAATTCAGTAGGAATACTGAAACAATTCATTCAACAGTAATGTAATCATATGTTTGAGTAGGGTGGGGATGTGCTTGGGCCAAGGCGATGTTCCAAAGACTCCTACCCCCACCCCACCCCAACAGAGTTTCTGTGTAGCTCTGACTACCCTAGAACTTGCTCTGTAGACCAGGTTGGCCTCAAACTCACCGAGATCTGCCTGCCTCTGACCTCCAAGTGCTGGATTAAAGGTGTGCACCACCACCACCAGGCCCGTTTTTCATCCCCCTGTGCATACACACACACACACACACACACACACACACACACACACACGAGCTAACGAGCTATTTGGTCACATGATGTGTATATTTTTCTTAACCAGGGTATTGCCAAACGGTCTTCTAAATTGTGTAACAGTTCCTGATCTTCACCACACTTGACTTAGCCTCACTTTAGGTGTGGAAAGCAGGAAGGGGTCTTATATATTTACATCCATGCCTATGTCGACCAGGCTTTATTTTCTGATTTAAATGGTTTCACTCACCAAAATCTCTGGCTCAAATACTCTAACAAAAGGTTGCAGTGAAACCTGGTTGGCTCTGAAGGCAGAGGCCAACCACCGTCCCTTCTTTTCCAGAACACAACAGTCTAACAGGAAACTCTGTCTTGCCACAGTGTTTTACTATGACCTCGGCAATCTAACGTGTCAGCGTGCTATTGTCATCACTTATCTCCTGTGTGTAGTTCACACGGCAACACTCTAGTCTATAAAGTCTGATGTCATGTACATGTAACATCAGAACTTCTCTGAGAGTAAATCAAATTTAAAGCTGACAGCACCTTCAGTTCAACAAGTCCTTTCAAGCCAAAACAATTTCTTGTATGACCCCCACAACTGGCACGGTCCCATGGGGACAAAGCTGATCTCCACAGACAGGGACACGTATGCTGGGAAGGCACGGGCAGCTGGGATGCTAGGCTGCTGTCCACCGCCCCCACAGGCATGTGGCACAGTAGTTTCCTGTTCTATCCTTTTTGCTCCTGTGGCACTGGGACAAAGTTCCCATCTGAACAATGAGAAAGCAAACAAAACAGCACAGGAAAGCAATCCACTTTACAAGTGAAGAATCAGCAGGGCAGTCAGTTTCTTACTCAAGGTCAGTTAGCCTGAGTCCAATTTCTAATTCTTGAACACTGTACATTCACTTTATTACCACAGTGTGGGTGTGACATGACTGTTAAAGGGTGTCCGCGGGAAAGGACAGCCAGGGCCACTGCCAGAAAACAACCTAAGAAGACAGAAGGAAATGAATACAGACTTTAAGAAAAAAGCTACAATGCGTTCCCTGAGAGGTTCCTTCAATAAGAGTCTAATTACCGTTGTTTAAAAATACTCTTAGACATTTGCCCTCGTAAGTTTGAAATAACCTACCTGCTGGCTTAGGAACATACCATGTTATTCATAAAACCAAATCTGTTAAGTAAAATACATATAATCAAAATTCTCTTTGGAATTACTTTCAGTTATAAACAACTGACTCAACCAATACCAGCTGGCAGAGCTCCGACGGGCAGCCCTGGGCAGAGCACCTACCTACTGCAGGGGCATCATACTCATCGCCGAGCAGGATTTCTGGAGCAGAGTATGCAAGAGAGCCACAGCTTGTAGTGAGCTTCTTTCCTGGCTGAAATTTGTTGCTGAAGCCAAAATCTGTCAACTTCACAAGACCTTGTTTTTCAAAAAAGACTACATTCTCTGGTTTTAAGTCTCTGTGAACCACATGGAGTTTATGGCAGTAAGATATAGCATGTACTATCTGAGCAAAATACTTCTTGGCCAAGTCTTCATTAAGACCTTCCTCGTGTTTCATGATGTAGTCAAACATATCTCCTCCATCTCCAAGTTCTAGAATAAGATACAGTTTGGTCTGGGTGTCTATGACTTCATAGAGACGAACGATGTTCGGGTGCTGCACTAGCTTCATGCACCTTACTTCCTGGAAGAGATGACCAGTGGCTAGGGTGTCTAGCTTCGTCTTGTCAATCACCTTCACCGCCACCTTTTCACCTGTAAAAACATGCCTGGCAAGTTTCACCACTGCAAAATGACCTCGACCCAAGGTTTTATCCAGATCGTATAATCCAGCAATTTTTCCATCATATCCTCGCTTGAACCCTGCCATGCTGGTACGACAAAGGGAAAATACTTAAAGTGCTTGACTTGAGTCTTCTCATATAAGCGTATCTGCTGGAAATAAGGCCTTCATTGTCAACATAGCAACGGATACCTGCAAAACAAGAGAGACAATGAACACACGGATTTTCTTTCTAATTATTTGTTTTATTTTGAAAGCCTTAAGTCAATTGAGATACAAAACAAGTCAGGGTCATTATTAAAAACCTGTATACTTACAGTATACAATTCAAAACAGTTTGAGAAGTAAGCACAACTCCACAAACAAAAAGTAGCCTCTCACTGAAATCACTGCCTTCTCTTGCTTCCTGTCTGTGCACCAAGTGTCTAAAGGTTCCTGCAGACCCACGTTATCCATCTCCCCAAATCTAAATCAATACTGACACAAAGAGGGCAATCAAAACTGCCTTACTACATTTGCAATGCAACTTATTTCCCAAAATGTTTTCCAAGCTACTCTCTGCTCCATGACAGCAGGGATGCAACAGTCCTGGACCTAGCAGGGCTTAAACAGCTCTGGCTGGAGACCACTCACGCTTTTGCTCATTACCACGGCGTCTCCTAACTCCGCCCCCCCCCCCCCCCCCCCCCCCCCCCCCCCCCCCCCCCCCCCCCCCCCCCCCCCCCTTCCCAGGGCACACAGGCATGCACTCTTACAGACCATTTAAGTCTCAAAGATGGTTTGGTTTTAGAAGCCATACTTCATATCATACTTAAAATTTTCAGGCTTTCTAATATAAACCTCTAACGTAGAAATATGTTCTTATAACTGACCTTGTCTCAGGAAAAAAATATATAAAATTATACCACTTAAAATACCATTTTGAATCACAAAAACTGAACAACCACTCTAGAAATGAGTACTGGAACCTGTCAAGTGTGCTGACCTCCCATCAACTTGTGGCCTATGGTGTGCACACACTATTTTGGGGCTGCCCTTTCGCACATTCCCAGCTCTATGCTATAACAGCAGACACACTACCTGTGCTGTTTTGTGATGGAGATGCACATAACCTCAACGAAAGCTCAGGCACACTGGGGCTGTGACGCATCAAAGCACGAGCACTCCACTCCCTGCATGTCAGTTATTCCAGGATCAGAAGGAAAGAAAGTCCAGACTCACTGACATGCTACCACAGCCGTTCGCAAAGGTGAGCCTGTATTGTGTCACTGGTACCTAGGGTCAGGTGGTCTCACTCTGAAGTCAAGGGAACTCTATGTACAAGTGACAGATGGCATTAAAGCTAAACTTCAACATAACTGAGATGTCAACACCCATACTGGAGATCAACGCCAAGGTTGGACAGGCATTCCTGCCACTGAGCTACACCCTCAGCCATCGAGGCCGCTCTTGATGGGGACACTGACACAGCAGGAGTTTAAATGCAATTGTGAACAAGACACACGGACTCATTATCACATCATCATCGCTTCCAAAATTACCCGAACCACTTCCTTAGGGCCACCTCAAAAATCCACATCAATAACTTAACAGGCCAACAATAACACAGCCACTACCATGTTCCAATGTTAGAAGTCACTGTGACCACACACAACACTGCCACTCTGGATGAGCACTGCACACCAGTCACACACCAAGCTTTACACTATCCTTTCCCAGCTTTCATAACTGCCTAGCAGAAAGACTACTCACCCCATTTTGAAGCAAAACAAACAAACAAACAACAACAACAAAAATGAAGTAAGTTGCCTAGGCTGCAGGGCTAGGATAAGGAGGAGCTCTCTTCAACTCCAGGGCATCTGACACCTGTCAATGCTCTAAAACAACCTGTTGTGCTGTTTGACTAGTTCTCAAATCGAATTAGTCCTGTTTCTACTAAGATTTTTAATTAATAAACCAGTATAGGAACTTGCGAAATGGCTCAGCAGTTAAGAGTGTTACTGCTCTTGCAGAGGACCTTGGCCCAATTCCCAAAACAAGTGTTAGCTCCAGTTTCAAGGGGATCTGACACCCTATTCTGGACTTCATGGGCACCTATACCCAGAGCATGCACATGCACACGCGCGTGCACATGTGCACACACAGAGAGAGAGAGAGAGAGACCGAGACCAACAGACAGACACATACACAAAATAAAATAAAATATTACTTATTTATATATTCTATGTATAAGAGTGTTCTATCTGCATGTATGCCTGCAGGCCATAAGAGGGCACTGGATCGCACTATAGATGGCTGTGAGCCACCATATGGTTGCTTGGAATTGAACTCAGGACCTCTGGAAGAAAAACCAGAGCTCTTAACTGCTATGCCATCTCTAAGCCCATAAAATCCTTTTTAAAAAAGAAACTAGTATGTAAAAAAAAAATACGTTAGAAAAGGAGACAATTTCTTCTGTACTCTGTATTAGCCTGGCTCATCTGAACTAATAATTTCAACGGCCAGCATAAACAGAAACATCTAAATTGAAGTGTTTCTGCATTTGGACAGCAGGTTCTCCAAAGAAATTTTAATTCACATATATTAGGCTAAAGAATCTGTTTAACCTCAACTCTGCGACTTCAGCTGTTCCTACCTATGTATGTATATGCCACATAATTTTGTAAATTCAACTTTCACCTTCAAACAGACTTTGTGGGCTGCCTGCCCCACGCTTTTCATCTGTGTCCTTTCCATCTATTATTTCTGTTTAGACGTATTCCTGGAACGTGGCAAACAGATCAGATTAGATAAATGAGTCTGGGGATTTTTAAAGTTAATCCTGGGGCTGCGGAAATGGCCCAGTGGGTGAAGTGCTTGCACACAGCAGAAGGGCCTGCCACAACCCCAGCGCCCACATAGAAGTTGGACACGCTGCCTCCCATTTGTATCCTCAGCACGCAAGGCTGGGGAGGTGTGGGCACAAGCAGGAGGATCCTGTGCTCATGCGCAGTGAAACTGTCTCAAAAAGGAAAGTGGGGAGAGCCAGTGAGATGGCTGGGGGGCGGGGGGAGGCTCTCGCTGGACAACCTGAGCTCTATCTTTAGAACCCACGTGATAAAAATAAAAAACAGACTCCCAGAAATTGTCCTCTGACCTTCACAGGAGACAGTCACAGAATGCATGCACAAGCATGTGCACACACACATGAGCGCACATGTGCATGCACACACACAGAGTGAATTACTGTTTAAATTTGGGGGGATCAGCTGGATCATGATCAAGAGGACACTAATGATGAGCTCTGGCTTTCACACATGCGTACAGCAAACATGTACATATATACACACAACAAATAAACTGTCATTTGATCGCTGAGGATCTCAGTGCCTGTCATGCCAGGAACCGTGGTAGTGTTGAAAGTGAGAGGTGTAGGTGAGTCTGTACTGGCTCTAGGACATACCTTGCAAACTGCATGCCAAATTGCTCTGTTACCACTGTTAGTTGCTTCTTTCTCCTAAAGGAAAATACAGAAAATGATTTCAGTATATTCTATGTTTCAATTTTGCTTAAAGTAAAACTATATTCTAGCACATGACAAACCTAAAAGCAGCAAATCTGTCCTCGGTGACCCAGTTTCCTAGTCTCTCTCCTCTCTATTCAATTTTCCCCTTTCCCTTCTAGTCCTGGAGGCTGAAGCTCATGCTAAGCAAGTTCTCTGTCAGTAAGTCCCGGCCCCAGCCCCCAGGTCCACACAGGCAGCCCAGCCCCCAGGTCCACGCCGGCACCCCAGCCCCCAGGTCCAGGCCCAGGTCCGGCAGCCCAGCCCCCAGGTCCACGCCGGCACCCCAGCCCCCAGGTCCACGCCGGCACCCCAGCCCTCAGGTCCTCGTCGGCACCCCAGGCCCAGGCCCAGGTCCTCGTCGGCCCCCCAGCCTCCCAGCCCCAGCTTTAACCACAGTTCTAAGGAAATAGTGGCAATGAACACCAGAATACTAGTCGTTTTCTGTAGACTTTCTGGGTGGCATCTGCTGAATCCTGGCTGTGTCTGAGCCATCTCTGACGAGGATCCTCTTGTCTGCCTATGAAGTCCACCCCATCTCCAGCAGCCCCCAAACAAGCTCACCAAGCTCCCACTGCAGCAGCCGAGGAGAGGAACCTGCATAAGACACTCTTCTTCAAAGCAAGGAGAAGTGCATTGTGCTGCCCGAAACAGGTAGCACACGAGACACCTCCATGCCTGTTACCAGACAGTCAACAAAACTACCACTATGAGCAAAGCAGCTGTGCTGTCCCCAGTTCCTAGCACAGTGAGGGGTCCTTTCTAAGGTGGGCTCATACCACACAAATAAGCAAAAGGCCGACATACCCTGGGCAGCCAGCGCAGCCCACACCCCAGGCTACAGGTAATGAGTGTCTGGGCAATCAGTGAGCCCACATTTAAGTTCTCTTGGAACAGAGTCCAGGGTGTGGGGAAGCAGACACAAAAGATGACATCTGGATGCAAAAGCAAGTCTACTGCTGGAGTGAAACCAAAGAGCAAGGCCTCACAGTTGTGGGCAGTCCCTGGCTTACTGACAGGTAAGCCTCAGCTTGTCTGTCCGAGTCCCTGCCTGCCTCCCTTCCAGACCCTTCCCCCCAAGTAGAACAGGGCAGCTCCGCCCACTACCCTTGCCTGCTTCTGTCTCCAACAGCCATTCACAGTTTCTGTGGCAAACAGCATTGTGGTCAGTGGTTAAACACTGGTTCTGAAATACATCCAATATGAATCCACCACCAATACAAGCCACAGGCCCTCAGCAAGTTACCTGACCTTTCTGTGCAGTTAATTTCCTCACTAGACAATGTTAGAAACAAACACAGCCCTGTCTGGAAGACCAGCGCTCAGAGGCAGAGGAAGAAGGATTGAGAGTTTGAGACCAGCCTGGTTTGAATAAAATACCACTATTTCACCCCCAAACCAAACTAAATCAAGCACACAAACTTTAAAAGCTGTGAAGTGGCTGGAGAGATGGCTCAGCGGTTGAGGGCTCTTACGGTTCTTGCAGAGGCCCTCGGCTCGATTCCCAACAACTCACATCACATGGCTCACAACCACCTGTAACTCCCAAACCATCTGAAACTCACGCTCTCTGTGGCACCTGCACTCACACGCACACAATTAAAGGCAATACAAATAGCTCTTTTAAAGGCTGTTTAGATCAAGTGTTCAGCGTGCTGGGCTGCAGTGCTCCTGCTGTTCCCTTCTGGCTGCTCGTAAAGAGCTCCCTGAACTGGTAGCCCTCTCTTGCTTTCCTAACACATAAAACTGAAAAACAGTGCTGTAAAACCCTGAGATACAGAAAATAACAACTCTTAACGCTGAAATCTGATTTTCAATAAAATTCCTTTTTAAAAATCTAAGTATTTGCTTCCCCTGCCCCAATTTTTGATTTAGTATCATTAGTAGCCCAGGCTGGCCTCCACTCAAGATCCTCCTGCCTCAGCCTTCCACATGCCACTTTTTTTTTTTTTTTTTTGGTTTTTCGAGACAGGGTTTCTTTCTAGCTTTGGAGCCTATCCTGGAACTCACAGAGATCCGCCTGCCTCTGCCTCCCAGTGCTGGGATTAAAGGTGTGCACCACCACCACCTGATCACTTCACATCTTAAAGTAACAGACTCTTCCAGCTTAGCTGTACGTGTGGAAAGCTTCAGCTTCCAGAGTGAAGGAGGGGCCGCACGGAGCAGCAGCGCCAGCACTGTTAGCAGACGTGCTCGCACGTTCATACAGCTCCGTTCCCCACTCAATCCTTGGTCTGCACACTCACCTCTGTTCTAATATCGTGATTTCAGAAAACAATCACCTGTATCTCTCCTCTGGTAATCAAGACAGCACAGCTGTGGAGTTGTTCTCTAGGTACAGAGCCAGACACAATTTTTAAAATAAACTGGCAGAAATACACAAGGCAACAGATGATGATTAACAGATGAGGGTTAGAGAGGGGTTTTTAACTATTTAAATACTTCTCTCCCCAAAACAAGCTGAATATTTTACTTCATCAAGTTTGGAAAATGCAAACCTGACACAAGGAAAAACTCACCTGCAACCTGTCTTGGAGGATGATACCAAACCTGACACACTCTTATAAAGCCAATGCCTTAAATGCAATGACTAATTGTTCTGTCTTTGTAGAATAAACTTTTTCTGATGCTGAGCTCTTCAAAATCAGTTCTTTAACAACTACATAACTGAGCCAACGTCTTTCTGAAGAGCAAACATCACTGAATCCAGCCATTGTAAAGCAGCCTGTGACAGGGCACATTGCAACCACATGTGCACACCTAAGCTAGACCTCAACGAAGCAGGCTAAGTCAACAAGTGTTTGGAATACGGAAACTCCTTCTGAGAAACAGGGGCTGGTAGGTGTCACAAGAGTATACTGATGCTCCCCCAGCTCAAGAGGGCAGAAATGACTGAGCGTGTGGGTGTGGCTGGAGGGAGGAAGGAAGTGTGGGTGGCCCTACACACACTTTGCAAGTGCTGAAACAGTGGTAGAAGCAGCCTCTGCTAAAACTACCTCCTCCATCTCTTCTTCCCTAGGAGAGAGAGGTGACCAAAGACGTCTCTGAGCACAACTGAACAAACGCATAGCTGGCTGAGAAATCAAACAAAACAGCTGTGTGCAAAAATCAGGCTACCCTAAGTCTCTCAACATTTTGTTCAGAATATAACATTCCCTCAAATGAGACACTCAATATTCTAGTACACTAAATCTCCCATAGGTACTAACTACCAGAAAAAAAAAAAAAAAAAAAAAAAACTAGGCCAAAAAAAAAAAAAAAAAAAAAAAAAAAACAAATAAACACGTCTCTGAGCACAACTGAACAAACGCATAGCTGGCTGAGAAATCAAACAAAACAGCTGTGTGCAAAAATCAGGCTACCCTAAGTCTCTCAACATTTTGTTCAGAATATAACATTCCCTCAAATGAGACACTCAATATTCTAGTACACTAAATCTCCCATAGGTACTAACTACCAGAAAAAAAAAAAAAAAAAAAAAAACTAGGCCAATAGTTCTTCACATTATACAGAAAACCAAAAGTTCTGTTTCTGCAAAGTTAACCTGACACTGAATTTAACCTTCTTTCTCAAAGAAAAGGCTAAGGTTTTTTTTTTTCCCACAAATATCAAAAACTGAAAATTATAATCCTTACTCATAGGAACAAGCAGACTGAAACACACACCTATAAAGAGACACCTGAAGTCCTGGTGCAGGTAACACTCAGTGAATATTTCCAAGGTAATCTACCTGTTTGCTAAAACCTCATCAACTGAAGTGATACAGCGGCGAGAGGAAGACCGTGATGGAACTCTTCAGCAACACCGGAACCCCAGTCAACACAGTGATCACAGCCCCATCATACACTCTCGACTGCACCACTCCAAGAGTGCACTTCCTCCTCCTGGGAGTGACCACAGCCCACAACAGCTCAGCAGGCTCTAAGTTATGATGGAGGAACTAGAGTTCTGTACTGGGGGGATGGAGGGTGGAGGATACAGAAAATTACTATGGGGTTACAACAGCTTCAGTCTGCACTCACTAGATGGAATCTCCATGTCATTAAAATTAAGAGTTAAGCCAATAGCTCCTATTAGAAATGTCCTAACAGGCAGTTATACCTCCAAATCTAAGGACGTTGCAAAGGACGGTAATGCCTACTAAGTCTGTTCTAAGTTTTCTTGTTTTAATTAAAATACATTACAACATTTCCCCCTTTCCCTATCCTCCCCGCAACCCTCCCATGACTCCCTTATTCCCTCTCAAATCCAGAGTTGTTGTTCTTTGTGATGGATACACACATTATACAGACACACACACAAACACAACCTGCTGAGTTCATTAAGTGCTACTTGTATGTGTATGGAATATGATTTCTGGGCTGACCACTTGGTAATGGACAACCAAGTAGGGGTCTCATCCCCGAGAAGATGAATTCTCCGGCTCATTCTCAGCACTCCTTAGTTGACTATAGTTCTTCCTAGGGTCGGACCCATGAGATTTCGGAGACCATAACAGAAAATCACCATTGGTCAAACTGCACAAGGTTCAGGGAACAGCACAGGAGAGAGGGCAGAAAGCCTGTGAAGACCAGAAAGTCCACTCTGAGAGTATGTCTGGAAACAACTGGGAAGCTTCACTTGTGACACCTCAAAAATATAGCTGCTAGCATTATCTGTAATAGCCAGAACCTGGAGACAACCTAGATGCCCCTCAACCAAAAAATGGATAAAGAAAATGTGGCACATTTACACATTAAAGTACTACTCAGCAGTAAAAAACAATGACATCTTGAAACTTGCATGCAAAAGGATGGAACTAGAAAACACCATCCTGAGTGAGGTAACCCAGACTCAAAAAGACGAATATGGTATGTACTCACTCATAAGTGGATACTAGCTATAAACAAAGGATATTGAGCCTATAGTTCATAATCCTAGAGAAGCTAAGTAACAAGGTGAACCCCAGGAGAAAC